CCCAGGGTCAGGAGACTGCCCAGGAGGGACAAGCCCAGCCAGAAGGGGGCAAGCACCCGGGGCCACAATTCAGGACAGATTCTGGTCCTGGACACTCGTTCCTCATACCAGGAGCTGACAGCCTGTCCAACCTGATTAGCGATGTTTTCTGGAAATACCAAACCAGAATCCATGAGGGAATCTGGTTACGACAGTCTATAGAATGTGCAAAGATTACATGTGCACTATCTTCTAGAAGTATGACACACAGCCAATAGACCAATGACAGACAGGACACACATGCAGCGCATCTTCGGCTACTGGAAATAGGTCCCATGTGTGTACGCCAGGGCACAGGGACGCGACACCTGCTCACACAGGGATGCTGATGTTGAAGCACCACCTCAGGGCCATCCCCATGGTCCCCACCGCCACATTCCAGCCACACCAGCATCTTTTTCTTCCAAACATGGGTTTAAAAGACCCCAGAGCCTTTGCACCTCTCGCTTCCTCTGCCAGGAACAATCTTCCCTGGCTTTGCAGATCTCGCAGGGGACCAATCCAACTGCACCTTCCCTGACTCGTCTTACCTAAATCGTACCCCCACCCACAGTATATCACATCACTCAGTGTATTTCTGGAATTACCCTACTCATTTATTTGTTTATAAGAATATACCGTCCTGAAGGGACAGGATGGTGACTCTAGTTCACTGCTATGTTCCAGAGCCCAAAGCAGAGTCTGACCCTTACGAGTGCTCAATAACGATGTGCTGAATAAATGAACAGATGAAGGCAGGAAAGAACGAACAGACTCAGAACTGTAAGCAAACAAATAAAAAACCACTTACTCTCACAAGAGGTCACCACGTCCTCCCGAATCCTTCTCCCATCCCCACAGTCCTGAGCGAGCTGGCTCCATTAGACCCGAGGGTCCCTGACAGGGGGTCTTCACACCCACCGCATCGCGACAACACCTCCCCAACACCCCCGGTTACAGAGAACTCAGCACACCTCCTAAACGAACCTGGGACTAGTTCCTGAGCTAGCTGGATGTCTCCAGCATCCGTGATTAGGTGGGAGAAGTTCCTTCTTCTTTTTTTTTTTTTTTTTTCCTTTTTTNCCTACATCACGTCTAGGACCAACGGGACAGGCGTGCTTCCTGGACTCGGCCCGCTGGGGCACATCCAAGTCTCTCTGACCAGGTCTCCCTTTTGTACGTTTCTCTCTGGACCGAGGGGGCAGCTGGGACGCAGTGGTGGCATTCATGGTCCCACGCAGCGCCCTCCTGGCAGGTGCCCACCCGCGGCTGGAACCCGAGGTGAAGAAGGGGCCTGAGGCTGAGGGGGCCAGAGCGAGGCCGGGTAAAAGAGGAAAGCAAGAAGAGAAACCGAGGCTGGGAGTGGGCCGGCCACGGAGAAGGAGAGAACAAAGGACGTGGGGACGAGAGGTGGCTGGGAACAGAGCCCGGAGCGGCCGGGGAGCCCAGGCTCTTGGCAAACAGAAACTGGAAAGGGAAGGGCCCATGCTTTCCCACAGCGTGCCCGCGGGAGGCATGAGGGACCCCACGGCCACCGTGGCCCCCATGCAGAGCTGTTCTCCTGTACGAGTTCTGGGGGACTTTTTATGCTTTTGCTTGAAATCAGGCCCTCAAAACACGCACTGAGGGGCCGGCCCGTGGCTCACTCGGTAGAGTGCGGTGCTGATAACACCAAGGCCATGGGTTCGGATCCCATATAGGGATGGCCGGTTTGCTCACTGGCTGAGCGTGGTGCTGACAACACCAAGTCAAGGGTTAAGATCCCCTTACCAGTCATCTTTAAAAAAAAAAACACGCACTGATTTAGCTGTGACTTTTCAGCCACCCTCGTGCATAAGGAAAATCATGATAATCTTACAAACACTGAATCTGACAAGCAGGAGGACGTGACATTACGTCATACAAACACTAGTCAAACGTGACTCTGTGTTCAGCTTCTCTCCGTGTCTGGAGCCAACATACCTCCTTTGTTGGCTTCTGGCACATTCCTGGCCCCTCGTACACACCTCCGGCACTAGGACTTCCGGTCACCTTTAGGTCAGCCTGAGTGAGGACACCCTCCTGCAGCTTAGTAGCTGTCAGTGGTCACTGCAGCCCACGTGACTGAAGGCTGGTGGCCACACCCAGGTGGCGGGTGGCCATGACGACATATATCCACAATCATATGCCCAAATCTCACACCCGTCACATGCCATGTGTTTGCCAGAAGATACAGGACTCCTTTTGACCTGGGGACAGACCCTCACAGAAGCCCTCTGTCCTAAACATCAAGCCACATTGGCCACAGTGGTCAGTGATCCCACGCTGAGCCCTCATTTCAGAGCCTGCAATCAGGGACGTCAAGTCTGGAAGGTGAAGAAGCAGGCAGTGATGCGGCTGTCCAGCCTGTGCTGGAAGGCAGCGTCCCTGCCCGGGTCAGGGAGGGCTTCCTGAAGGAAATGGGCAGGAGTCAGGCAGCCACGCGGGGGAGGGGACATTCCAGGTGGAGGAAATAGCCGTCCTGAGGCAGAGGGCAGGTCCAGGGCCAGAGAACGATGGGGAGGTCGGGGCGGCCGCATCATAGGGCCTGAGGTACAGGACACGGGTCAGCAGGGGTCAGGCTCCAAAGGGCGCTGCCCCGTCCAGACGCTGGTGCCTTCACCAGGCAGTGGGTGGCCCAGGCAGGACTCACAGGGATTGGCTTGACTCAGGCTGACAGCAGGCGAGTGAGACTGGTGTAGGTGACAGACGGCCATGGATGGTGGGGACAAGGTGGTGGAGACTGGGATGGAGGACAAGACTCTCAGGATGTGATTTGAGTGAGGGGCAAGGACACCCCTGCCACCTCAGGCCACTCCCCACCAAGGGCCAGTTCTGCAGAGGGATCGCGGGGTGCAGGGGTTCCTCTTGGGTCTGCTGAATGTGAGGCACCTAGGTGACATCCACGTGGAGATGTCCACCAGCCCAAACATGCACGTTGAAGTGTCCCCGCAGAACTGGCTTTGTGGTTTTCCAGGGCACAATCGTGTAGCCTCTGACTTCTTTCAACGATCGGATGCTGGGCCAAGCAGCCAGTCTCCAGACCCACCTCTGAGGTCCCCACAATCGGGGATTCCCTGCTCCCCAGCACTGACATCAAGAGTCCCTCCTGCCAGATAAGATCCCAAGGGACCAGACTCATTCCTGATTCACCTCTGCTACCCAGAGGGTCTTTCATACAACGGGTTCCCAGTGCACACGTGCCAGGTCACACTGACCACCCGTGCACGCCAGCTGTGAACACACTCCATGACACTTCAAATGCACCGTCTGGCTGTCAAAATGGCACAGAATGCTACCGGAGGCCAGCTCCTGGCTCCTGCCGATGGCCCCTGCCTGCCCACATGCTGTGAGCTCACCTGTGTTTTCCATCTAGAGTTTCCCCTAGAGTTAGGCAGTCTATACTCTGCTCTGCTGGGTGTGAGGGATGCATCCTGGCCACTTACCTGGAAGAACCTGGAGGGGCAGGAC